CAAAAATATTCTTTCAGAAAATTCAGAACAACTTTCCCAACCTGAGTCTTTAGAAAAATATATAAATGCTTTTCCACCTTGCTTGACAAGTTTTTTTGGTGGAATGGTTGAAACAATAAATATTAAAAAGCAGCTTCAACGTAGAAATCAAATCCCTGACCCTAACAATAATCAAACAATAAAGACAACAGCTTTTCTTTCATCTGTAGTCATAACCAATGCATTCAAAAAAAGAAAGATTTGGATTACCCAAATTTTAGCAACCTTATGCCGCAAACCCAAGTTATTAAGCTCTTTGTATCAGGTGCTTTTAGCTGGTGGTGTACTTCCTCACACATTAAGACATGAGCGTCGCTGTGAAGATGAATTGATGATGGCTGCAGATCCAAGGAAAAATTTAGTTTATGGACCTACAATATGGAGTGTTGGTGTAATTGATAATATTGATTTCAAAGAATCTACTTTTTTTTCAGGAAATATATTTGATGCAACTAGAAATTCTTTACATGCAATAGCCCGAATAAGTATCCAACTCGACTTGCAAGAACCTTTGGATGGTATCATGAAAAGATCACCAATGTGGCCAAGAACAATTGATAACTTGTTTGGACCTTCTGAATTTATTGAAGAATGGAATAATAAAAAAAATTGTATTTTTTCTGAATTATTAAAAACACATGAAAAAAATTTAGATGCACATCATATACATGATGAAATTACCAACTATTCTTTAGAAAATTCTACAATTGTCAAGACCACACCTAATGTTGTAATACTTAAAGCAGGTCCTGCAGCTAATTGTGATAGAAATGTTTTTGCTACATGCGACCTGTTTAAAGAGGATCTTCTTTCTGATGAAGCTGAATTTCAAAATAGGTACAATAAACGTCTTGATCTAGTTGCAGATGAAGCTATTTTTCAAAGACTTGTACGTTACAATAAAGACCACCCAGAGGTGATTCCTATGCTTGGCCAATTTCACACAAGTAGGGAAATGCTAGTTGTGCTGATTTCTGCATTTTCGGGATATGGAATTTTTGATCTTGCTGCTAAACTTGGTTCCAAATTTTTAGATAAACTGGATGACGTTGTAGATTACAGAGCAACCTCTAGAACCATAGAATTATTATGGGTTGCTACTGGAATAGCAATTCATCTATATATAGAAAAAAATGAAATATCAGTGAATGACATATTACAAGGAGATAATGATATCTTAAAAGTTTGGTATTTATTCTACCAATGGGCTGGTTATTGGAAAGGACATAAAGTTGGTATCAGAACAGGAAATTTCAATATGCAAATTGAAAACTTAGCTGCATTTGCTCCCTTATTTCCTGCAACTGGTAAATTTAATTATTATAGAGCAGTTGTTAATTTCCTGGCCTACCTATGTAAAAACCCTGGTCAAGCAAATCTTTTATGGAAGGCATGTTCTGTGAATCTTACAAGAGAAGGCCATTATTATGCATTTGATGAGACAATGGAAGTACATGGAATAAAATACATCAAGCAAAATATTAGTCATAATCCTACCTCTACAGAAAATCTCATGAAAGAGATAAAATCAATGCAATCAAGAAGAGAAAGACTTGATACATTTCTCTCTGAATTTTTGGATGATGATGTTAAAACCAGAAGTGAAAAGGCCACCCATAGTCGTAAAGAAAGTCTCTGGCAAGTTATAGATGAACTCTGCAATATATTTGATGGCACAACACCATTGGATCATTCTTTGTTTAAAAATCTTAAAGAATTACATGATGAAGGATTAAATAATATATTTACCTGTTATGACAAAGGTATTGAACGGCTTTACACTTTATTAAATGTAGAGGTACTTGGAAATATAAAAACCAGAGCAAGCTCTAAGAAGGATATTATTTCACACAAATGGACTGATATTAGCAAAGATAATAAATCAAAAAAAGGGAAAAAATCTAATTTAAATGAACAACCAATACCTATGATAATTGATAATGATAATATACAAAATGCATCCTCTTCCACTTCTGATGCACCTCCCTTACAAGCAAAAAAACCAAAACACATGGCATCTCCAGCTGAAAAAGAAATTCTCAGGCACCTTGCCTCTTTCCAAGAAACTCTTCCAAATGATGCAATTGATTCTG